CTTCTTCTTCTTCATGGCCTGTCAGTTGGGCTTCTAAATCAGAAAAACTCAACTTTATTTTTTAAAGCAGATTCAGTGTCAGCGCAAATTCGAGAGAAGCACAGACTTCCCATTATTCCTTGCCTTTTGCCAGTATCTCCTACTGAAGAGGAACAGTTGTCATGATAGATGAACCTGTGACATGTCACCTTCATCCAGCATCCATAGATGACATCAGGGCCACTCTTGGTGTCCAACAGTGTGGACTGGTGACGTGTGTCCACTGTTCCAGTGTTGCACAGAGAAGTTGCACTGCCTGGATAGTTCCCTATGCTCCACTTGGTCGCCTTTCCTCCCCACTCTGTAACCACTCATTATTACACCTTTTCCAGAATGTTATATGATTGCAATCATACAGAATGTAGCTTTTTCAAACTGAGGTCTTTCACTTAATAGCCCTTAGGTTTTCTCCATGTCATCTTGTGGTGCTCCATGGCTTATTTCTCTTTGTACAAGTAATATTCCATGGCTTATTTCTCTTTGTTGACAAGTAATACTCTATGGTCTGGATGTATCCTACTTTACCCAGTCAACTACTGAAAGTCATCTTGGTTGCTTCCAAGTTTTGGCAAATACCCCACAATCTTTTTATGCCCTCAATAGATTCTCCATGTTTCAGAGATTGAAGATCATATATGTGTGCATATGTATAATATATATATATATATATATATATGCAGCCCTTGAAGAGGCTAAATTCTCATGACATAGGCAGACACCTATGGTTTCTTATACTCCTTTTATTGAGTAGTAGATGCATGCCCCAGAACATAGTATGCATAAGGTATCAAGAATGAGAAAATTCATATCCTGAGCTGGCTGCCAGTTAAAGGCAGACACCACAGGTACATTTGAAGCACCATATACCCCTTCCTGCTTCCCACCCCATTAACTGCTGTCTTGAATACTAGAAACATAATATTAGTTCATATGTATATTTTCCTATCAAATATGTTGCTTGGCTGCACCTTAGAGTTAGGTTGGCTTATGCTATGGTCTGAATGTTTGTTCCCCCCACCCCGTATTCCTATGTTGCAATGCTTACTCTGTACCCCCCAAAAGATGGTATTAGTGTTGAGGTCTTTTTTCTGTGATGAGTTTCTGAGGGTGGGGCATAATGAATGGGTCAATGCTCAGAGAGCCCTGCATCCTCCACTTTGTAGGGTCACAGTGAGAAAAGCTGGTTGTGAACCAGGATGCAGCCCTTCCCAGACAGGGAATCTGCCACACCTTGATCTCCGACTTCCAAATCCCAGAGCATTAAGAAACAGATTTCTGGGCCAGGGATTTAGCTCAGGAGTTCGGTAACCTGCCTTGGAAGCGCAAGGACCTGAGTTCAATCCCTGATACCAAAAAGAAAAAAGAAACAGATTTCTGCTGTTTACAAGCTACCACTATTAATGACAGCATCGCATTTGACCAAGAAAAGATAAAACATTAACAAGAGAAAAGAACATAAATGTGCCAGGGAGCCTTCGCAGGAAAATGAAGACCCAAGGAATGGTTAGGCCTAAGTACATTTCCTAGGCTGAAAGAAGAGCAATACTGTGTGAAGAAGCAAATAAAATATATGTGGAGGCTAAATGAAGATAAAAACAATTTTAATGAGGACTATTTGCACAGACTTCTATCACTCTGGAGTGCCCATCTCTGTTGCAAAGACTTTCGTTCCCCTGGGGAGGGGAAGGCATCTTTGGGAGTTTCATCTCCTGCTTTCAGGTGGAAAGCAGAAGGTCAGAATGCTGGTTTGCAGCTGCTGGTTTTCAAATGCTTTTTGCTTGCTTAGAGTAATCTGTATGCCTAACTGACATGTTGCGGAATGGTATAATCTGCTTTCCTCAGTGCCCAGGCCTCCTTTCTTCCTATTATTTTTAGGATTTCAGCTTTTGATTTTTAGTAGAATGACTCGTTACACTTACATACACTCTGCATTAAGGCTGACCCCATAGTGCATCATTAAGACTGGTGGGATACACAGATGAAGGTTCCAGTCTCAATAGTTTTACTGCTTTATAAAAATAACATGTATCGTCTAGGTGAGAGACTAAATGGGTTTTCATGACAGACACCTGGAAGCATTTAGCAAAAAAATCATTCATTGCACCAGATGGTAGCACTTGTTTGTATTTAAGAAACATTTTCTGAGCTACCCTAGCTATGCTGAGACTCCAGAGATCATAGCTTCACCCATGGGTGCCCACCTGGCACGTTCCTTCTGGCAGCCACCCCACCCAGGTGTCAGCACACTAGAGTCAAGGAGTCATCTGAACACCAGCCAGGTGAGTTGCTTACAAACCCAGAAATGCCTGACTTCACCAGTCCTGTCATACCTCCTGGGGCCAATGCTAGCCACTGTTCTCTGCTGAGATAGCACAGAGCTGTGGGCCTGCTGCAGGTGACTCAGATATGCATGTTGGGAAGGCTTCTCTGAGAACTCATGCACATGATTTCAGAGGAACTTGGGTTGCTTTCTTGTATCCTTACTACTTTGCTTTTCTCCATTTTGGGGCCTCAAATTAATTCTCACATATTCATCTTTCTCTCCCTCTCATTCATTCATGTACTGGTTGGTCTGTCCATTAAACTGTGGAAACTCGGTGTATGTTAAGAGGAACATATAAGGCCAGACTGTTTTGGATATGAAGAACAGGATGACAGGGATCCCCTCCTCAAGGGGCTGGTTCTCCCATGAAAAGGCAAATTTCCTCATGAAATCATATGCTAAGATTCATCCAGTTTCCCTGGAGCCCAATTCCCTCGTTCCAAACACCATCCAGAAAAGTTATCTAGGGTTAAGCTCTTCACTGAGCCAAAGGTCACCAAGACAAGGACTTCATGAAGAGACATGACACCCAGGTGAATTAATTTAGCTTAATAATGGTCAGAAGCTTTCAAATATCAGAAAACAGTGGTATCCAAATATTGTCTTTGAGTAGCTGTCAAGAACAGTCACCCTATACATCCTTAAAAGAGATGATTGATTTCCAGTGTGTGAATACTAATCTGTTATAAAGCTTTTAAAATTTGAATCAACAGGATATACACTGGTTTACATAAATTGACTTCAGAAATCCACAGTTGTATATTGGTGGTATTTTATCCTCAGCCCTTGCTATTTGTAAGAGCACTTTCCGCTGTTTTGTATACCTTCACTTGACAATAAGCACCTTGAAAACACAGCAGGCAGCAATGGAACTAGATCATTTCATTCACTGCATTCCTAGCACCAGGCAGTGCTCAGGTATGAATTTAATAAAGATTTTTAAGTGTAAGTGATCCCAATATGGGGCAGAGTGGTAAAAATCCTTACTTTCTTATCACCACTATGCTCAGGTCATCCCCACCATCTGATTCAGCCAACCCTCTCCGCTCCCAGTGGCAGGATATGCCAGCCAGCTGGTCTCCATCTCTTTCATTCTAGGGAACCCAGTATACTTTGGAAGTTAGGAGGCCCATTTCAAAGTGTCGGAGCCATGAGCCATCAAGGCTGGTGATACTTAACTGATATAAACTTCCAGGGCACAGGGCCTTCCTGAACTTTACAGTTAGTTTCCCAGTGTTGATTTCACTTAGGTCATATCAATAATTCACTGAGACTTTTATGGGAGAAAGATCAAATTAGAACATCCGCTAGCACCCTGGCCATCTTCTGAACCTACCAGAATGTGGATAAAAGTAATAACCACATAACTAATGGACTTCTAACAGGAGATAGGCCGAGCTTCTACATGAAAACTGACAGTTAACAAAGCACACAAAACTTTCTGGCCCATGGTCTGGAAATAAGAGTTAACAGTGTGGATAATTGGACCTCAACTAGAAACAGACTCCGCACAAGCGCAAACTGCTGAACTCATGATAACTGGATTTGTGTTTATATCCACTCCATGTCATTTTCTCACTTAAATATAGTGAGCTACCAACACACGTGACTAGTTGGATCTCTCAACTGGTAAGAGGACAAAACAACAGTACACACAATATTTTCAAGCTTACTAGTACTTGAGAACGAAGGGGAGGAGCCACTTCTGGGGCCTGGGAGCCACAAGTTACAGCCATTTTTTTTGACCCAGTGAGTGGCTCTGAAAAGAGCCTTTGGGGTAACAGCAGTATGGCGTGGGTGCCTTTAGGACCTAGAGTGTCTCCCTGCGGATGCGGCGAGCGAGCTGGATGTCCTTGGGCATGATAGTGACACGCTTGGCGTGAATGGCACACAGGTTGGTGTCCTCGAAGAGCATCACCAGGTAGGACTCACAGGCCTCCTGCATCGCCATCACTGCTGAACTCTGGAAGCGCAGGTGAGTCTTGAAGTCCTGAGCAATCTCACGCACCAGGCGCTGGAAGGGCAACCTGCGGATTAGGAGCTCAGTAGACTTCTGATAGCGACGGATCTCGCGCAGGGCCACAGTACCAGGTCGGTAACGATGCGCTCTCTTCACGGAACCCGTAGCTGGTGCAGTCTTGTAGCCCACCCTGGCCAGCTGCTTGCGCGGAGCCTTACCGCCCGTTGATTTGCGAGCTGTCTGCTTTGTGCGGGCCATTGCCCCAACACAGCTGCTGCTACTTCTTAGACTAATGCGGGAGCCCTTGAACGGGCTCGCCTTTATATAGCCTGCAGTGTTCTCATTGGCCAGCTGGCGTGATGGCAGGCAGCACTCTGTTTGGCTGGTGGGGTGCTCCTGACTGCAGACCACAGGTTATAGTTCTAACCGACCTCCAGCTGCATGATCTGTCATTCGTGTGTGTGTGTGAG